CAACTTCACATTATCTATGTGCTATAATATTTTTATTTATTTTGTTCAGTATTTCCCAATTACAATTCAATCTGGTTCTCAACACTGGGAGTGTTGCAGCCTCCAAAGACCCTGCATTGTACACCTCTGTGGTGGAAGACAGAACCCTGGGGCTTCTAGTCAGTAAGTCATGGGTTCAAATTTCCCTTGCTATGTGACAACAGGCAAACCCCTCAATTTCCTAGGGCCTTGAGGTATGATCTACTAAATCTGATTATGATTTGTGTCAGTTAAAGGAGTTTCCCAGTGCTAATGAAATCACAGACGCTTCACAAATCGCAAACTTATCCATGGTTTACAAGGGCGGTTTAGGCAGCAGTAGCAGGACAGCCCTCTGAGTCATGCTTCCTTGGGTTCAAGTCCTTCCTATGACACATTCTGTCTGTACAGGGCAAATCACTTTAATCTTTTGATGTTCCAGGAAATTCTTTAAGACTTTTAATTTGCAGAACTATTTCTGATTTGCGTTGGTGGAAAGAGTTTTCTCATATAATAAAATCACAGTCCAGACCAAAATAAAACAAAACATAAAAAACAGACAAAATTCAAACTGAACCACAGCATAGCATAGCATTTATAGAAGGGTCTTTCTATCTACAAAATTATCAAATGGGCCCTTACTGTGCCCAGTCAGAAAATCATTCAAGGCTATTCAAAACTAATCAGGGACAATACCCACTGAAAGAGAGCTTCTAGTCAAGTAAAATTAAGGTTTTGATTAAGCTGCTGGTTAAAGAAACAACATAAAACCACTGGAAGGTACTTTCAGGGACATTCAGGTTTTACTGATAGATCCATATCTATCTATCTATCTGTCTATCTATCTATCCATCCATCTATCTACCCATCTTTCTCTCTCTCCATTTCACACACACACACACACACACACACACATATATATATATATATATGTATGTATGTATATGTATACACACACACACTTTATAAGACATAACATAAGAAATAAAAGATTTTTGGCTGACCATCTGAAAACCACCATTACAATGTTCCTTTGAGGAATATCTTCAATCTTCAAAGAAAAGAACTTCTGTTAAAATGAGGTCTATTTCACAGATAACAGTCAGTTTAAATAAACATGCAAATAAATTAATGAATATATAAATAATTATTATTTTGTTGTTTTACATTGCTGAATGGAAAGTTAAAAGAGCTCTGGGCATTGCCAAGAAATGAAAAAGCCATTATATACACAAGTACTTTTGGTGTGCTACCTCTGGGTCAATAAATGCTAACTATTATTATCTATTAGGGTCTACTATATGTCAGTCACTAAGCTATGAAGCTATTGGGCTATGAAGAGTAAAAACACAAGATAAGTCCTATCTTATCTTTCATAGAATGCCAGGGGCTTGCATTCTATGAAATTTGAGCTGATCACTCCCCTTAGAGAGAGGGAAGCCAAGTAAAAGAACAATGAGTTTAGGAGAGTCATTGGAGTCACTTAAATATGGAGCTATCTGCCTATCTTGTTTCCATAAGTTTACTAGACATAGATCATTAATATGTAAGGCCTTCTAGAAGAATTTTATATTGTGTTTGGGTTTTTAAAAAAGTATTTAAAATATATTATTAACTGCTGATATTGTCTGGTGTACCTTATCCAACACTTTTAGCTTGGTACTTGTATTCTAAGGAAAATGGCATATGAGCCATATGATTTTTTTGAAATGGAAAAAGTACTACAACTATAAGTAATTTCCTCCTGTGATGGCACCTCTAAAATGCAGTGGGCAATTGCTAGCTAAAGTAAGAACTATCTCATCCCACAGGAGAGAACCTTCAAAAGCAATCTGTCCACAGATGGCTGGGTTTGGGGTTGGAGGATCTGGCACAGAATCCCAGCTCTTACTGGTTGCATGACCTCGGGGAAGATCTCTCCAGACTCCTGTTACATCAACTGTAAAATGAGAGAGTTGGTCTAGATGACATCTAAGGTACCTTCCAGCACTAAATCTCTATGTATACCGAAATACTAAAAATTGGAGAATAACTAGCTTTAGGCTCTTGGAGTAGTTTAGTTGGCTGGGGATTTTGTTTTGTTTCATTTTTGGTAACTGAATATCTAGCTTCGTTTTCCCCTGAGGTCCTGCTTTCACTGTATAAAAGACTCCACTGATTTTCTTCTGATCCCAAGATTTTTGGAGGGCTACATCAGTCCCTTTGTCCCCTTAGATTCTCAAAATGCTATCAGAATTTTCTGCTAGCAATTAATAATAGTTGCTACCCATTCACCTTCTTCCTCAAGTGGAGAATGAAAGACTGAAGGACAAATTTGCAAGGCACTTTGTAAGTCTGACATACTCTTTACCATTTATAGAAATGACCTAATGGATAGTGACAAAAGACCTTCTTTACACCCTTTATTAGTTAAAGGCCTTTGGCCTTGCAAATGTTCTTCTGTGATCACTGCTATGATCTAAGGCAGTTTCCTATGTGTTTCTCCACCAGACCCTGACTATACATGATTAGAAGGAAAATATCCAGTGATCAAGTTAGCTTATAGAAAATAGAATCAATTTCTCTGGTTTCATCATGATTGGACATTTGTCTGAACAATTGTAAATGGGGCAATGGAGAAGCACTATTTATTAAGCCATCAGATGCATCATACAATTTTGGTTATTCAGTTTTCTTCTTGTTACTAATGAAATATGCAATATACCTCAAGAAGTCTGAATCTTTGCAGTACCATGCCTGCTAGCATTTCAAATGCAATTAACATTTCATTCAGAATTTATTTTAAATTTGCATACTTCTTTAACAATTTTCCTATAAAGAGCTCAACAGAATGCTCCCCAAAAGAGTACTGCAGTATGCCTGGATGTCATCTTTTTAAGACAGTGACCTGGCCAGAAGCCCTTGAAGCTTAGACACAAACCTGTCAGCTACCCCATACCAGACATCCACAGCTATGGTCATTTAGAGATGTTTCCATGAGTTAGGAGTCTCAGAACACCCAGAATTCAATATGGTAAGGGCAGGCCTCTACCAAGGCCTCTTTGAAAAGCTGTCACTGCCCCAAGAAGAGCAAGAATTGCCAAGCCCCACAAGACTCAGCCAATGAGCACCCAACTCAGGGAGAATCCACAGGGAGTAAAGACAGAATAAGAGGAGTTCATCGGCCTTGAAGGAAACCTCAAGTTGGGAATAATGTCAGGAAGAACCTGGCTTAGGGAATGAAATTTCAGCTCTAGGCTAAGGTCCAAAGACTTTAGGCAAGACACTTGTCTCAGGAATAGGAGGTAGAAGAGGCCACTTAATCATCAAAAGGTAGAATTAGCTGTTAGACTGAAGCTAGGGAATTTGCTTCAGGCAGATCAATCAGGAATTGAGAGGGCAGGTCATAGGTGAGAGAAAGAATTCACAGAGGATGGAAACTTGAAAGCTATAGGACGAGTAACAAAAACCTGAGGCCTAGTGTCCATGGTGGAAAGAGCTTCTGCAGTCACATGGGGAAAAAAAAAAATCTCTTTTCACTGAGCCAAGGCTATGCTTGTAGGGGAAACTTAGGGGCATATGTTCAGCAAATTTAGAGCAGGGGAGGCACTAGACCCTAGGGCCTTGAAGCTAGATTGAATTGGAAATGTCAGAGAGGATTACATGCCCCAGGCTCTAGGCTCTACATCAGGAATTGAAGTTATCAGGAAGATTTTGGGAGGTGGACCCCAAACAATCTGGCTACATTAATCAATCAACTAAATAAGAAGAACTAAGGTAACATCAAGGGCAAGATCCGCCTGAAGGAGCAAATTAAGAAGGAAGAGACATCTAAGGAGACACCTACTTTCCTAGAATTAGCATGGAGGATCAGGATTTATTTCCAACACTACATCCCTTGGCATTTAGCTCCCTGGCATGTGAACTAGGAAGGAGAAACTAAGAAGGCTTGTGTGTTATTTTTGACAACTGGGGCAAGAGATAAAGGAAAAATGGTGAGTTCCTTTCTTGGAATCTCAGCAATACAGTAGGAAACCCAGTGAATAGAGAAATGGTGGAACAAAGGGGATAAGAGAGTGGGGGACAGTGGTCAGTAAACCAACTCCTTCTGTTTGCTAGTAGAAGAAAATAGTCACATCCCATGGGCTGGCAAGATGCCTAAATAGGTGATGGGAAGAAAACAGCAGAAAAGAAAAGAAAATTTTGAAGGTCTGATACTGGAAGTGATTATAGAATGATAACTTTAGAAGCTATAGAATGACCCTTAGAGGCCATGCAGTTTAACCTCCTCATTTTTCAGATGAGGCAGCTGAGGCCCAGTGAGGTTAGATAACATACATACTCAAGCAGGATATGAACCCAAATCACTGGAGGCCAGAGCTGGGACTCTTTCATTTGTACCATGCTGGATTCAAGAGGTCTTCCTTCCCAAGATAGGAACCCCTTATTCTAAGAATTTTAAAAGACCTACTTCATGAATTTTAATACCTACACAGACACACACAAATGAAATCATGTTATCTTTCTTCCAAGCTAAGAAATTAGCTGTGGTATAATTTAAAGAGAACATTGGACCTAGCGATTAGGAAACCTGAACTTGCTGTTATCTAGCTGCGTGATCTTGGGAAGGTCATTTCCACTCTGACATTTAATCTCTTTATACAGTATGTCAAATGAGGGTTGGGACTAGATGATCTAAAAGTCCTTTCTGGATCTAACATTCAGAATATAGCTTATTCTCTCTTAAAAAAAAAGACAGAGGATGACACTCTATAATCTACTTCATAAAAATTAATCATTTGCCCCTCCTCTCCATTTTAAGGGTAATTCCAGTTAGATGGTAGAGAAGGGACAGAAAACAGTGAGGAACATTACACCTTACTCTGGTTCTCAGCAGATCTTACTCTCTAAGGTATGTGTTTAAGAAACAAAAGCAGGGAATTCAAGAAGACAGATGTGCTAAGGCTAAAAGCTGACCTAAGGGTCACCCCACCCTCTCTTACCAAGGTCCATGCTCTTTGAGGCTTTCAGATGAATTGATTCAGGCTGCTTGGCTGGTGTCAAGGATCTGAAGTTTATTTGCTGACCTGTATGATATACTGCTGAATCCTCTACTGAGCTGTGGAAGGAAGCCATACAAAATATTTAGATACTGGCTAAAAACCTCAAGAAATAAGTTGAAAAGTTCCCATTAGAAGCAAATCCCCTCATCACTCTCTCCTCCCATCACCGACCGCACATTTAAAATCAATCATTAATTCTGCAGCTTCTATGCCATTTCCATGCATTCTATCACATAGCACACACTTAAATAAAAACATTCACTGCTTATCATCTGTTTTACTCTTTGCTGCTTTTCATAAAGTAGAATTCTTCCATACTATACATACTAACAAGAGTGAAAAGCAACTCTTCTCTAATTTATCTCCAGGCAAAGGCCCTGCCTCGAAGGTCCCCCAGTCCTGTCAAGCATTGCAACAAGAAAGGAGGCTCCCAGATAGACTGGGCTTCTTGGGAGCCATGTGAGAGTTTCAGCACAAGTAAAAATTACATCCCTTTCAATGAATGTCATCTGCTATGTGGCTGATGACTGTAGGAGATTTTTGTCTTGTTTTGGTTTGGTTTTATTTTTTAAAGTACTATATGTAAGTCTATTTCAGACACACACACACACACACATACACAGAGCCTCTTATGCCCCAACCACCCATGTTTGTGCAGAGCTCAGCAACTATTCTAAAGGAGGTTGGGGGGGCGGGGAAGAGAAACCCAGCTGAAGATGCTGACACAAAACAGATCAAACATCCATTGTACAATTTCTAGAACTTACAGCACATTTCAAAGTATTTTATTCCTAATGAATATTTCATTTACTTCTCTTTTGGGAGAGGAAGATAGATGGTTTAAGAAAATTATTGAAGAAAAATTCTTCCTACCCTATATAAAACAAAAGATATTTGTAGAAATTCTACCACTAAGTAATCTGGAAACCAAAGTAATCATTTCATTCAATTTTGATCAATAAAAAACATTTATTAAGCACCTACTGTGTACCAAGAAACTGTTCCAGGCGTTTGGGATATAAAGATGAAAACAAAACACTCCCTTCACTCAAAATGTTTAGAGTCCACTGGAGGGAACAACACACATACATGAAATAGATACAACTCATACACCAAGTGAGCATAGGGTGGTAATTTGGATGAATAAGTGGGGAGACTAGTAACTATGCAAAGGAGGAATGGTCTCATGCAGGAAGTGGTAGGAGCTGAATTCTGAGGAATGATAAGGGTTCTCAAAAGTGAAGGTGAGGAAAGTACATTCCAGGCACGGAAAACCTTTGCAAAGGTGTAGGGTTAGGAAGTACACTAGCACCTCGGGCATTGTGGCTGGACTACAGAGTACGTGAAGAAGAATGTTTAATACATTTGGAAGCATAAACTGGAGCAGATGGAAGCTTTAAATACTAAAGAGAAAAGTTTGTATTTTATTCTAGAGACCACAGGTAGCTAGTAGAGATTCCTGATCAGACCTTAAATAATCAGACCTGTGCTTTGGGAATATCACTTTGGCATGGATGAAATGGAGCAGAGAGAGACTGGAAGCAGGCATGTGATATCCAAGTAAAACCATGGTTAGTGAAAATCATTTTTTTGGAGATAATTAGAGGTAAGTGACTTGTCTAAGGTCACACAGCTACTAAGTGTCTGAGACCGGATTTAAACTCAGGTCCTCCTGAGTTCAGGATCAGTGCTCTGTCCACTGCACCAGCTAGCTGCCCTGGTGAAAATTCTTAAGGAATGAGTGATTCTGTTCATCTGACTTTTCTGGACTGTATATGGTGGGAAAAGCAGTTGGATTGGGAATCAGAGGGTGTGGGTTTGGGTCCTGGTTCGATCACTTACTATCTTTTTGACCTTAGGCAAGTAATAGTCTCTGTGAACTTATTCATCTTTAAGAGGAAGCTAATAATACTTTTGGGTTTTTTTTGGGGGGGTAGAAGGGAGAAGTATTTTGTAAACCTTAAAGCACTATGTAGCTATGAATTTGTATTAATTTTTTTATACATTCTTAAATGCAGGAATGGTTTTAACTGCTTTGAATGGAAACTTCCTAAAAGTACATTCAAGCTCTTTGGACTTCTTAATCAGAATGTCCTGAATACAATTTAATTTTTTCATGACAATTCAAGGTCATTATTATAAACTTCAGTCACTGCCTAGAAACCATGGTGTCATCAGTTATTAAGGAGCTTGGACTTTTTTTTCTTTATAAATTATTGCTTTTTAATGGTTTTCTTGTTATGTACCAGTTGGCTGTCATCTCTTCTTACTGTCAATATCCTATTTGTATTATTCCTTCTTCTCTGCTGATTTACTGCTTTTCATTCACTGAAGGGTGGGAGAGGGGATAATTAAACTTGTTAGGATCACATGTAAAGTAAGAATAATGATGTCCTGAGTAAGGAGTTGAGAGGCTGGCCTGTGAATAAAATCCATGAGCTTTAGCCTATGGAATTTGTAACAACTATTCCTGAGTATTTTTTTGGGGGGGGGCTTGCTGTAAGGTTCCTGGCTATATGTTAAATAGCTAAACTAAAGATAAGGATTGGGAATGGGTTTAGAAGCGTCAGACTTGATAATGGCACATTTTTTCAACTTTAGGGCCTAAATAGGTACTACATGCCAATGATGAATCCCTAAATTTGTCTAACATTAGATTCTTTTATTCAATTACTGAACAAATATTAACTGAGCAACTAATGTGCCCATTATTGTGCTAGGTGCTATCTTTGAAGACATATAAAACACAGTCTTCAACCTCATAGAGTTTAAACTCTGATAAGAAAAATTTTTTAAAATAACAGTAGGGCCATCATCAAATTCGTAGAATTCAGAAGGGCATCTTTGATAACAAACCGACAGGCATCTTTCGGAGAAACTGATGGATTTAGGCAGCTATGCAATATAGTGGATAAAGTGCTATACTTTACAGTCTGGAAGACTTGAGTTCAAATCTGGTCTCAGACACTAGCTGTGTGACCCTAGGTAAGTCACTTAATTTCTGTCTGCAGAACACCTATCTCCCAGGGTTATTTTAATGACAAAATGAGATACATGTGAAGTGATATCTTAAAGTGTCACAAGAATGTTAGCTATCCTTATTATAATTTGGAGAATCTTCCCCAAGCATATTTATTTTTGGTATCATTTTCTCACTGTCAATTTCTCTGTATCAAGCACAGGCATTTGAGATCAAGCTATTAGCCTCTCCCCCCCAGTCATGGTTGGAATGTTTCTCTTTAAATTTTTCTTCAGTATCTTCTAAATATTTGAATTTCTCTGTCTTAAGTTTTGTCACCATGGGCCTTGGATCTGGGTTAGTCTTCCTTTTTTTCCTCAAAGACAGTATTGTTGTTGGATTTCTTGGGGAAGGGAGTCCAGCAGTTGATGAATATCATGTCCTTGAACTTCTAGCTATAACTGGCTACCTGTCTTCACAATTTAGGCTATGATGGTATCCACTTGGTTCTTAAATTCAGGTAAAAATTCTGGGCTGTTTTTTCTAAGAAACACAGGACCAAGTCATTTATGAAAAAAATCTTGGACATCTACTTCAACTCCCTCGATGAACAAATGAGGAAACTGATCCCTAGAAAGAAACAGTAACATATACAAAGTTACATAGATAAAAGTGTGGGGATTTGAACTCTGACTTCAAACCCAACATTCTTCCTACTCTATCATGATGCCCTAATATTTCTTAACCTCCTTCCAAGGTTTTCCACTACTTGTCCCTCCATCCCAGAAATTTAAACTTATCCAGAATTTTTAAGGATTGTTCTATTTTGGGGCAGCTAGGTGGTGTAGTGGATAGAGCACCGGCCTTGAAATCAGGAGGACCTGAGTTCAAATCTGGCCTCAGACCAAACACTTGAGACTCACTAGTAGTGTGACCCTAGGCAAGTCACTTAACTGCAACTGCCTTAAAAAAAATTGTTCTGTTTTCTTGGACTTTAGTATTGTTGGTTTGGTTATTTTAAAATAAAAACAAGCCTTGAATGAAAAAACGAAAGCCTAGTTCATATGACAGAACAGGGATGTCAGTCAATGAGTCAATAAATATCTATGAAGCACTTATAATGTGCCAGATACAAAAAAAAAGATGACAACAACAAACAAACAAACAAAAAACCAGTCCCTGCTCTCAAGGAGCTCAAAATCGAATGGTGGAAGACTATGTACAACAAAAGTAAAAAGGATAAAGGAATGGAGTGAGAGTACCAGGCTTTGTAGCCAAGTGGGAAATGATCACGTATCTATCCCGGACTCCCTCCTTACACAGAGGATGGGATGAGCTCTCCAGATCTCTACTTTTCACCCTCTCCAATCAGAGGGAAGATGGAGCCCCAGAGACAAAAAGGACTGAGGAAGAGTGAGTTTTAGAATTCATTTGATCTTGCAGGAAGATATATTTCTGGAGACAATGGTGAAGTCAATGGTCAGCCAAGTAGAAAGTGAAGTCAAGGTGGCAGTCAAGATGGGCCATAAGGGATGGCAAGAAAATGCCCCTGAATAGAGGTTCAATGCCTATAAGGCAGGAAGGGTGTCCAGGAGAATGAACAAATCTTCATTTTTTAAAAATGAAAACTATTTCACCTGTAAGGTGCTTTTTCTACTAATTGCTCTGAACAGCTGATGTAAAACTGTTAATTAATCATAAAAGGGCTAGAGTTACTCAGACTTTCAGCTTTGATTCCCTGATGGCTGGAAGGGTAATTTTCACAAAACCCTTGTGGGGTTTGAGATTTCAGAAGTGAGGTAGAAATAAAGATTTGAGTTTAAAAGTCATCTGAAACATGTGAATCAAGCAGAATGGTCAGTCAGTCATCAAACATTTATTACATGTTTACTGTGTGACAGGCAGTATGCTAAGTACTGGATATACAAGCAAGGCAAAAACAAAGTTCCTGCCCTTAAAAAGCTGATATTCTAATGGGCATCTTTTTGGTGGATCCCCGGTTTATGCTCATGGGAGTACCTTCCCCAAAGCAGGGCCAGACCCTTCTCATCCTGAGCAATTCTTTCTTGTTCATGTATCCCCATAAACCACACAGCA